TAAAATTATTATATATATATAAAATTTTAATTAAAACATATCAATACAAACTTATTTTTGCAATGTCTTGTGAACTTAAAATTTTTTTTCGGGGCGCTGCCCCGAACCTCGAAATTTTAGTTAACCCCCTACGTTTTCATCATGGTTCCGCCCCTGCTCCTCTCTGAAATTAGTGTTTCACATATCAAACATTATCGAAACCGTCCTCGATCGCCACACGCTTTCGATTCTCATCATTCTCTGCGAAATGGGTCTCAACCCGGAATCTCTCACCGCTGTTGTTAAGGAGCTTCGCAGGGATTCAACACCGCCTTCCTCAGACACAGTTGCACCACCTCCTTGACCAGGTATTGGGTTAATCAATTTTGTTAGTAGTTGATATACGTTTTTAATTATTGTGTAATGAAATTAAGTATGTTTTATGGGTGTTGAACCCTTGAATGCCCATTCTGTGGTTTTTTTTTTTTTTTTTTTGTGTGTGTGGAAGATCCTTATAAAAATGAGACATGTACTAAATACCTGAAGGTGTTTGATTATATGCTCAAACCAGAAAATTTCCTCTCACTCGCATATCTCGCTGCCAAGATCTGTGGAAATCTGTTCAGACGGTCCCAACATCCCTTTCGACGAGTTCGGTTTCACAGACTTTAAGACAAATACTTGAAGACGACCCCTGACCTTCCAGCGCTCTCCAAGGTATTCTTATCATTTTTTGCGGTGGGTTCGACGATTTCTTCCCTCCACCGCACACGCTGCTGCCACGCTGTTATGCTGAGAAGGCAGCACATTTTCTAGATAGGCCGTGGCATCTCAACAACTATGAGGGAAAACTGCCTCGGCTACAATCGATGGATCGCAGAAATTAGTGGTGGTGTAACAGTGCTCCGGTTTTACATATTCCATTTCTTTTTCCTACAATATTTGTCATATATGTAGTGTAATGATTATGAGATTGAGGTTTAATTAGCACTCAGATATACTAATGAGTTATATGCTCTATGCTATCAACAATAAAGGGAGGTTGAGATCTCATCTATAGATTTCCGTCCAGGTAGTTACACGGCTGTCAGGTCTTCACACGTTGGTAATTTAAAGCTTCGTCTCTTTTAGTGATCCTTGCGAACAAGCACGCCTTTACTTAAAAATTTCACTCCATTTTTTTCATGTGTTTAGTATGAACTGTTAAACCATCACATAATAGTGGATTAAAATACTTGTGGTTATAAACCATATTATTTGTAAACATTCGATCCAATAACAATTTTACATGCTTCAATATCATAAAATTACATTTTATAGAATAGTAGTTTTAATGCCTTACGAGCAATAATAGTGGTATATGCTCAATACCCATATTTAGACAATAGGAAAATATAAATGAAGTACTATTTTTGCTAGGTACAATTTTAAAGAATAGTGATTTAAAGTATTGTATTTCAAAATTACGTAACTCTAAAGAATAGTTGTTCTAATGCTTCAACAACAGTGATATTTTATATAATAGTTGTTTTAATGCTATCAAGGAGGTCCAAGACCCTTCAAATTCAGGAGGCCATGTGTATTGTAATGATATATGTCGAATTAGAATTGTAAAGCATGTTAATATGTAAACAATGAAAATTTTAGAACAACATCCAATTTATTTCTAAAAAAAAGCACAATTGGTGGAGGAAAATGTGAATAATTGACTTATAAACATAACAACAAATAAACAATGTAAATACTTAATGCAGTTGCTAAACTGTATGTTAGATAGTATCTTTCATAAACATCACAGAAGCTATCCCACTTTGTGTCCCTCTGACCGCGTAATGCGACCTCGAACAAACGGCATCACAAAATGATAACATGGGGTCTTCTCGAGGCATTCAATATGCACTTATCTGAGATGCATATTACGAAAGAACGTCAATGGGCGAGTTTCTTGATCCCAGATGCGTAAAGAAATTGGAAAAATATGTTTCGAAAATAGTTATAACAACAAACAATCTACTCTAATTGCAAATAATGTTTATGTTGGAAACACCTTCTGGTTAAGTGGTTCAAACAAACATACTATTAAATATACACAGGCTATAGAGGATAATTCTTCCTCTAACAATAAAATAGATAAGATCAAATTGGAAGGACCACAAAACTAAAGTACATTACGTGTCATTTTCTGAGCATATAGGAGATTTCCTTAACAGAAAATATCAGCTAGCAAAGTCTATATAGATGACTCTCTGTACAACATTTCAATTAATGAAAAATGGTTTCATATCTCTCTCCCTGTGTTTCTTTCACCATATTACTTTTTCTCATCTTCAACATGGTATCAAGAGCTACTAAGACCTGCGTCTTATCCTGGGATCTTCTCTAATTTTCAAATTTTTTTTCCTCTTCCATGGCAGAACCCACTTCTGTCCCCAATTCTCCCACCACACACCCACTCACCCCATCCTCCGCCTATACAACCCCTATGATGCCATCTATTTCCCCCTCGCAGATCCTTTCTTTGAAGCTTTCCGATGATAACTATATGTTATGGAAAGCACAACTGCTTCCCTTTCTTCGTGGTCATAATTTATATGGTTTTGTTGATGGGTCATTTTCGGCCCCTGAAGTGTTTGACGAAATGTCACAACCAAATCCGGCGTACTCAGTTTGGCACCAAAATGACCAATCTGTTATGAGTTTACTAATCTCATCTCTCTCCGAGTCTGTGATGGCTCATGTTCTTGAAGCTACCACCTCCCGCGAGGTATGGCAGATCCTTGAGGATATGTTTTCTGCTAATTCTCAAGCCCGCGTGATGCAACTATTTTTCCAGCTCACTACCCTAAAAAAGGGGGCCGAATCTGTTGCTATCTATTATCGTCGTGCCAAACTTCTTGTGGATACATTAGCCATGGCCGGAAAGCTGGTTCCCTCCTCCGAATTCATTGTATTTCTGCTAGCCGGACTCGGTTCAGATTTTGACTCGGTGGTGACTTCCATCACCACTCAAGATGTCCCTCTTTCTCCTGCCCAAGTTTACAGTCATCTCCTGACTCACGAATCTCGCATCAATCATCAACTAAAAGACCTTACATCTTCCGGAGATCTATCAGCCAACTTCTCGAGTCGACAACCTGTATTTACTCCAAATCGGGGTCGTGGTATTTCGCGAGGTCGTGGCCGTTTCAGGGGAAGGGGAGGTCGTTTTACCAATCCTACTCGTTCACCCTCATCATTTCCTCATCCACCCTCATCATTTCCTGCCCCTCCTAAGCCTACATGTCAAGTTTGCAACAAATTTGGCCATTCTGCAGCCACATGTCACCATCGTTTTGACTATAACTTCCAACCACTATCTCCTCCGTCCCTCGCAGCTCACTATACCTCTGCCCCTCAACCTATGGCACCTCGATCTGATTCTCAATGGTACCCTGATACAGCAGCTACTCACCATTTTACTAATGAGTTCTCCAATTTATCTATCAATCCCGTGGAGTACAAGGGCGTGGAGCAAGTTAAAATTGGTGATGGTAAAACCCTTCCCATTCACCATGTTGGCAGTACACATTTTCCGACATCTACTGGCACTTTTATTCTTTCTCAATTATACCATGTGCCTTCTATAACGAAAAATCTTGTTTCTGTGCTTAAATTTTGTGTTGATAATAATGTTTTCTTCGAGTTTCATGGTTCCTATTTTTGTGTGAAGGATTCTCGAACCCAGAGTCTACTTCTCCGTGGTCTTACTAGGGATGGGATGTATGTCTTTCCGTCTCTATCTCCATCTCCTCAAGCCAATATATGCGAGCGTGCCACACCTTCTCTTTGGCATGATCGTTTGGGTCATCCCTCTATGTCTACTGTCCATAGGATTATCAATCACGCTTCTCTTCCAATAAATCGTTCGAAGAACTTGGGGTTATGCTCTGCTTGCTGCCAAGCCAAGTCTCATCAACTACCTTACTCTACCTCTCTCCACACATCCACTGCTCCTCTTCAACTTTTATTTACGGATGTCTGGGGTCCTGCCCCTTTACTTTCTCGTGATGGTTTTAGATATTATTTATCATTCGTAGATGATTATAGCCGGTTTACTTGGCTTTTTCCTCTTCGGTGTAAGTCTGATGTGACTAAGGTTTTTCCATCATTCAAGTGTAAGGTTGAAAATATGTTTAATACCAAAATTCGTGCTATACAATCGGATTGGGGCGGTGAATTTCGTTCTCTTAATCACATATTGAGCTCTTGTGGTATAGACCATCGCATTTCGTGCCCTCATGCTCATTCTCAAAATGGCACCGTTGAACGAAAACACCGCCATATTGTAGAAACTGGGCTGGCTCTACTGTCTCACTCATCCCTTCCATATACCTTTTGGTCCGATGCCTTTAACACCGCAGTTTACCTTATTAATCGTCTTCCATCTCCTGTCCTGAATAACAAATCTCCATATGAAATTGTTTTTGATCGAACACCGGACTATCTTTTTCTCAAAACCTTTGGTTGTCGATGTTGGCCACATCTTCGGCCTTATAACAATCACAAAATGCATTTTTGCTCATTGCCATGTATCTTCTTGGGATATAGCTCATCCCATCATGGGTATATTTGTCTCCATATTCCATCTTCTCGGATCTACATTTCTCGAGATGTTATCTTCGATGAATGTAATTTTCCATTCTCCCAGCCCAACTCCTCACACCCAATCCATCCACCTACGACCTCAAATTCTTCTTTACCTTTCATTATACCTAACATGGCCAGACTTCCCACCAGCTCACCATCCCCGTCTCTTACCTCCACTAGTCCACTTCCTAACAATGAACCTCTGACCCAAACTAGCTCTGCACATACGCCACTTCACCCGACCCTCTCACCTACTGAACCACACAGTCAAAACAATATTCACCAAAATTCTCCTATCTCGTCACCTCCATTATCTTGCAATCCAGTTCCCATCATCAGACCAACAGCACCACTGCTTCCTCTTCATATAACTCGCTCACATACTAATAGTATTTGTCCAAAAACTCGCACCGATGGTACTATTCCTTGGCCACGACCCCGAGCTCTACTTACCTCAATGACGGTTCCGGAAGAACCATCTTCTATATCTCAAGCTTGTCAATTTCCAGAATGGCGACATGCTATGCAGTCAGAATTTGATGCATTACTGACTACGCGCACTTGGTCTCTTGTTCCGCCCTCCCCGAACCAAAACTTAGTGGGTTGCCGATGGATCTTTAAGACTAAATTTTGTGCCGATGGAACTATTGAACGAAGAAAAGCCCGTTTAGTGGCAAAGGGATATAATCAGGTTGAAGGCCTTGATTATTCGGAGACTTTCAGTCCAGTGGTGAAGCCCACAACTATTCGGTTAGTACTTTCGATTTCAGTTTCGTTCAATTGGAAGATTACACAACTCGATATTCAAAATGCGTTCTTACATGGTTTTTTGGATGAGGATGTGTATATGAGTCAACCACCTGGTTTTGTGCACCCCGATTACCCAAATTATGTGTGCAAATTGAATCGTGCATTATATGGTCTCAAACAAGCTCCCCGAGCTTGGTATGCACGCTTAAGCTCTCGTCTTCTTGAATTGGGTTTTGAAATTTCCAAGTCAGATGCCTCATTGTTTATCTACCGTCATAAATCTGTTACTATGTATTTCTTGGTCTACGTGGATGATATTGTTCTCACCGGCTCTTGTTCGAAAACTATGGCTAATTTAATTTCCACTCTTGCTCAAGATTTTCCGGTAAAGAATCTCGGGGGTCTAAATTATTTTTTGGGACTGGAATGCAATAGGACATCCTCTGGACTTCTTCTCTCACAGAGGAAATATATTGCTGATTTATTGCGGAAGACAAATATGTTGAACTGCAAACCAGTTGGTAGTCCCATGGCTACAAATATCAGACTTTCAGCGTTTGATTCTCCAACCTTTGATGATCCAACTCTATATAGAAGCGTGGTTGGCAGCCTTCAATATCTTTTATTCACGAGACCAGATATTGCATTTGCGGTGAATCGAGTGTGTCAATTTATGCATGCTCCTCGGCTATCTCATTGGCAGTGTGTGAAACGCATATTACGCTATTTGAAACATAGCTCAGATTTTGGATTATATCTTCAGTCTTGTTCAAATCCCTCACTTGCAGCATTCACAGATGCCGACTGGGCTGGTAATCCGGATGATAGAAAATCAACAGGTGGATTTTGCATTTTTTATGGTAAAAATTTGGTTTCTTGGAGTTCTAAGAAACAATCAACTATTGCTCGATCAAGTACTGAAGCCGAATACAAAGCTTTGGCTCATGCGACATGTGAACTCTTATGGATACAGTCACTTATGACGGAATTGGGCATTTCAGCCACTTCTGCTCCTACTTTATATTGTGATAATCTTGGTGCCACGTACTTGTCCAAGAACCCGATTATGCATTCTCGTACAAAGCACGTCCATATTGATTACCTTTTTGTTCGGGAACGGGTACACTCCAAGGCGTTACAAGTGTCTTTTCTCTCCAGCAAGGATCAAATTGCCGATATTCTCACCAAGCCGCTCTCTGTACAACGATTCTCTCTATTGCGAACGAGCCTCACTGTCATTCCTGACCGGTTTGGCTCGCGGGGGCGTATTAAATATACACAGGCTATAGAGGATAATTCTTCCTCTAACAATAAAATAGATAAGATCAAATTGGAAGGACCACAAAACTAAAGTACATTACGTGTCATTTTCTGAGCATATAGGAGATTTCCTTAACAGAAAATATCAGCTAGCAAAGTCTATATAGATGACTCTCTGTACAACATTTCAATTAATGAAAAATGGTTTCATATCTCTCTCCCTGTGTTTCTTTCACCATATTACTTTTTCTCATCTTCAACACATACATAGCATACTTTTTCATATAAACGTAATCCACTAAGAAAAAAATTCCTTTCACAGTCAAGAAAATTGTGCAAGAAACAATATAGGATGTTTGATTCACATAATGCACTATTTAATTTGTACAAAAAAACTACTATTGCATTATAAAAAATACTTATTTGTACAAAAGACTATACAAGATGTATGACTCAACTAATCCACTATTTTCAAATAGTGGATTAATAAAGTCCCCTGTTTTGTTTAATAACATTACAAATGCATAAAGTCCCATGTTTTGTTTAGTAAAGTCCCCTGTTTTTAAATGCATATATTAATGAAGTCCACAGTTTTGTATAATAACACTTCCTCTCAATTGATTTTTTACAAAGTCACCATGGTCAAAAGAACAACACCATGTTCACTGCCTGATTATTTTCGAAGACAAAAAATTGAAATCAATGCGTTACCAAAGTTATAATCTTAAATTTTTAGTACTTGATGTATTTCAATTTAATAGATTTTACTACCTATGATTTAGCACAAACAAAACACCTAAATAAAATTAAACCCATCTGATGCCTAATTTGCAATGTAGTACTGTCAACCTAGATGTGCTAAAAACAAATGTTGCAATATAAAAATCTTCTAGTTATGCAACCCCATTAACGATTACAGAAACAACTATAAAATAAACACCGATCACAATATTAATGAAAAGTAGTACCCCACAATGTTTAATACGTACCAGCGTCCAAACTCAGTATATCATTGTTTGCTATTGATTTTCTTTTTCCTGCTCCCGTATATTGTCCAAAAAAAATACATATAGATCAAAATGTAAAACAAAATTAGCAGCTTATATAAAACAGGGGATCTAAAACTTATTCATAAATGAGAAACCTATGTTTCGATGTTGTCTTTTGCACCATTTTGTCTCTTTAAACGATATCGATATAGTGCTGCGTTAAAAAAACTAATTCAGCAGTATGTTGTTTAAATCAACACATAAAAAAATTTAAAATAATTGTTTTAAAAATCAAAATTAGAACCCGTCCACTTAGTTTTTTGTTCAAAGGACTGAAAATTTCATAGATAAAAATAAAGGGATATAATAAACTTACTTTTTCAAAGGGATTTAATCGGCCGACCGATTGTACGAAACGCTTCAACAATCTCATAAAGGGGTTTCTGGCAAACCCAATATTTTGTGATGCCCACGCAAGTTTTTTGAGTTCTCGGGGCTGCCATGGAAGTCGCGATGTGAAAATCGGAGAAGAGTTTTGTAGACGCATAAATTAATTAATTGGTTAATTAAATTAGCCAATTAAATTGTGTCTAAATTAAATTATAATTTATCTTACAAAATAAGTTATGGAGATAATTATCAATTAATTATTGGCCAATAGGATTATTTCTTCTCTTCCAAGTTATAAGAGATAAATATCAATTTAAAGAGAGCCAATCAAATCGCGCCACGTCATCAAGTAGACTTTAAGTAGGACTCTTATTCTACCACTATAAATAGGGACCATATCTACACAATTCAAAACACAACTCAAGAAGAAGAAAAATCGTAGGAGAAAATTCTCTCTACAATATTCAAGTCGTTCTTCAACAAATTCAAGGCGTTCTTCATCAAACATCAAATCGAGGGCGTTCTTCAACAAATCAAGATCGAAGGAAGATTGAAGGGCCAAATCCATCAAGAACTCCAAGATCTCCAAGTCAATCAAATCGAGGGCGTTCTTCAACAAATCAAGATCGAAGGTAGATTGAAGGGCCAAATCCATCAAGAACCCCAAGATCTTCAAGTCAAAACCCGTCAAAGTTCAGCGTTCGATCCGAGATTCAAGTCGCAAGACCCTCGAAGACGTTATTCAAATCCAAATCAAATTCGGAGAAGATCAAGTCAACAACCCGACTCCAAAATTCAAAGTCAAAACATACATCGTTCTAGAGAGAAGAATCAGAGGATTAAATTAGAGTTTGTAACCCGCAACATTTTATTTTAATTCAATAAATTATTTTTGTGCAAGTTTTTCTTGTTTGTTTAAATCGCAGATAAGAATTTGTTGTTACAAATTTTGGCACGCCCGGTGGGACTTCTCTACCTCTCATCTCTTCTCTCTCGAAGTTCCTCGAAGTGTTGCAGTGACTGCTCTACGTTCGCAATGAAGGCTGCTACTTCGGATTCATCGAGTGTGGGTGTATTTACAAGGAGTATGGCTAAGAATGTGCAAGCATCCTCCGAGACTAGCTCAACGCCCCAAACCATTGAGAAGGGCTTACCACCTCTTGTCAACACAAGTGCAGACGTAGAAGGTTCAAAACGAGAGACTTCACAGCCCAC